ATATATATATATATATATATATATATATATATATATATATATATATATATATATATATATATATATATATATATATATATATATATATATATATATATATATATATATATATATATATATATATATATATATATATATATATATATATATATATATATATATATATATATATATATATATATATATATATATATATATATATATTAATAGAAATGTTTAATATACAGTTGAACGCAAAATTTGTACACTATAGTAAATATTTCTCAGGTGGTGTTTAATGGAAGGTGGCACGATGGATAGAAGGTCACTGATTCGAGTCCCAGCTGGGTCATTTGTCATTTCTGTGTGTTGGCGTGGGTTTCCTCCGAGTGCTCTGGTTTCCCCCAGTCCAAACAAATATAGGTAAATTGAATAAGCTAAATTGGCAGTAGTGTATGAGTGTGTATGAATGAGTGTGTATGAATGAGTGTGTATGGGTGTTTCCCAGTACTGGGTTGTGGCTGGAATGGCATCGTCTCTGTGTAAAACATATGCTGGAATAGTTGTCGGTTCTTTCCACTGTGATGACCTCTGATAAATAAGGGACTAAGCCGAAGGAAAATTAATAAATGAATGTTTAATGGAGCAAGGGTATTTTAACAGTATTCTCCCTCTATATCTTTTATTTTGGATAAAAGTCTTATTTTTTTAGAGAAAATCAGTTTTTAAAAATTCTAAAACAATGTTTTAAGGATTATATTATTATCACCTTTAAGAAATTGTATTCAGTCAACTTTCTAATGTATGTAATGGCATGTTTTGACCATACAAGCCTTACTTCTTAAATTTGATACCTCAACAAAAAAGGAATATGCACATTTTTGGCGGTAAACTAGTAAACTAATAAATAATGATTGTGATTGTTATGTATAACTAATGAAAAAACCTCATGTAAAATATAAAAATAATAATATTTAATAATTTTACACACCCTGAAGACTTAAAGAACCACACAAACTCTTCTACAACAAAGTTATTTAGCAACTTATTGGCAATTTATATATAAAGACATGATGTCATCTGACAAACAAATTGTTAATTGACTTGAGCAAACCAGGAAACATAACGAACAGTATATTCCTACTTACTATAGTAATTTATAGTGTTTTTTCAACCCAGGCTCATTCTGAAAACGTACCACTATTTGCATTTCTGGAGAGCGCCAAATACATACAAGGTGCTACTTTTTTTGCATTTTCAGTTTTCGCGAATCTGCCAGAGGCCGCTGTTTACGCTTTTTGAGATCTCAAACTTCTCTCGTGAGTGCCATTCGTGCCTGCTTTTCTGGAGTAAATCCACCAGAGGCCGCTGTCGACTGATTCACTGACTGACTGACCAACGCAATCTCAAGGCAATTCGTAATATTTTGATTTAGTGGCTAATTTGTATGAATTCGTACGATCTAATTCGTACAATTTAGTACGATTTTCTCATCAACCAATGACGGTTGGGTTTAGGGGTGTGGTTAGTTGCCACGCCTCCTTTTTAAAATCCTACATTTTCGTACGAATGAACTTAAATTTGTACGAATTATCCACTAAACTGACAAAACGTAAAATACTTACCTGTCCTCGTGAGATCAAGCTGCACATACACACTCTAATGATTTATCTTACATCTTGTATAAATGTATAACAGCTGCTCATTAATGTGCTTGCGTGACCGTTCATGCGTATTGCGTCTTCCTGCAGTCATTACCTGTGGATGATGCGTTTGTTGCGCAGATAGTGCAAAGCCAGAGCGATTTCACACACGTAGTGTTTGACGGTGCTCTCCGTAAAGTGAACGTTCTGCTGTAGATGATAGCGCAGATCTCCTCCCAGCAGCAGGTCTACAACCATGAACATGTCCTCCTCATCTTGAAACGAGTACCTGCAATAGACAGATATTTTTCAAATTCAGCACTCCTTTCGTATATTTTTAAATAATCATGTATGGGTTGTTGATGTGACGTGGTAATTTTCACTGTCACATGACAAAAATGAATAAAAGGAGTATCGCCATCATTTAAGATGCAGTAAATCTTTGTCTTCAATGAAACTCTTGTTCTAATAACTTGTTTTGTTTTTAAATGTTTTAAAGATGCCGTATGTAAGTTTGACACCCAGTGGATGAACTAGTTATTGCACACTCCTGATTCAAAACACATGCAAGCGCAGGTTGCCAGATTGACGCATCAACAGAAGTGTGCCTGACTATCGAGCCTAAAGGCTGATTAAAAGCCGATTTAGGTCGTGTTCTATGTAAAAGCAACAGCACACAACAGAAGGAATATTTTCCATATTAAAAGGAGTTTTTGTCAAAACACCTGAAATTTATATTTTAGAAACGGCTTCTGTTTCTAATAGGTAAACAACAGAAAACTGACAATGATCACCTCTGGTACAAATGCTGATAATGTGAGTTTGAATGCCATTTTACATGACATTTATAGCCATACAACTGAAAGCAGCAGCAGAAAGTTCACCTCAGATCTTGAACATAAAATAAACCATTTGATATTTAACTTTGGAGTTGAGACTCTAGTGCAAACCAACACAAATCAGTGATTCAGCATCTATATTTAATAATGTTAAAGAGGTTTAATATCTATTAATTAGAGTTTAAACCTTACCATTTCGTTGGAGTGCAGTGAGTGCACTATTCCGTGCTTCTGAATGGCTTTATTTACATTTCTGTCATGTTTCGTCTGGTGCAAACAGCCCAATTGCTTATAACTGCGTATCTCCTTACGTAGCGTGTTGTTAGGACATGCGGTTATAATGTAACCTGCTTACCTAATGTTTACGTTTGTTATATTTATATTAATTGCTAATTAATAACCACCTTATGTGGAACTCTGAATCTGCATCTCATCTGCTACTGTCCACCAGAGGTCGCTTTTTAGTCACGGACGCATTAGGAATCGTCCTGACTGAATGAAAGAAGTATGCTGTTTTCCAACAAGGCAACCTGGGTTGCAGTAATATAATTGGCTAAACTGGCACTGGTTAAAGCGACCAAAACAAAGACAGACAACTTAACCTGTTCTCATGACAATATGTATCAAAGTACATTCAAAATAAAGTAAAAATTGCACTTCGATTATCTTCAATGCATGCAAATACTGTAAAGGGAAGTGCACCTGTACAGCTGCTCATTAATGTAAATATCTACTGAGCCAATCACGTGGCAGTAACTCGATTCTTATTGGGGCGAAATGTGATCTAAGTGACTTTGACGGTGGAATGATTGTTGGTGGCAGACGAGGTGGTTTGAGTATCTCGCAAACAGCTGATCTGGGATTTTCATAAACTGTAAACAGTCTCGAGTTTACAGCGAATGCAGAAACACACACACACACACACACACACACACACACACACACACACACACACACACACACACATCATGATTGACAGTTTTGTTGCTGAAAATGACTTGATAATAAGGCTGAATATGTTTAACCCGACTGTTGAAGGATAACAGAAATCAGCAGGTTACAATAATCCTATTATGAGGAGCCAAGGAACACATAGATCAGGGGTGTCCAATCTCGGTCCTGGAGGGCCATTGTCCTGCAGCTTTAGCTCCAACTTGCTTTAACACACCTGCAGGGATGTTTCTAGACTGCCTAGAACAGGGGTGTCCAAACTCGGTCCTGGAGGGCCGGTGTCCTGCAGATTTTAGCTCCAACTTGCCTCAATACACCTGCAAGGATGTTTCTAGAAAACCTAGTAAAAGCTTGATTAGCTAGCCGAGGTGTGTCTGATTGGGGTTGGAAGTAAACTTTGCAGGACACTGGCTCTCCAGGAGCGAGATTGGACATGCCTGGCCTAGCAAGAGCTTGATTAGCTAACCCAGCTGTGTCTGATTTGGGTTGGAACTAAACTTTGCAGGACACCAGCCCTCCAGGACCGAGTCTGGACATCCCTGACATGGATAGTAGACTTTCATTACGTTGCTTGTTGGTTGTCTCAGCAAGAAGGTCGCTGGTTCGAATTTGTTGGCGTTTCTGTGTGGAGTTTGCATGTTCTTCCCATGTTGGTGTGGGTTTCCTTTGAGTGCTACGTTTTTCCCCACAGTCCAAACACATGCGCTACAGCGGAATTAGGTAAACTACATTGGTTGTAGTGGGAATGCGAGAGTGTATGGGTGTTTCCCAGAACTGGGATGCGATTGGTAGGGCGACCACTGAAAACATATGCCAAAATAGTTGGTGGTTCAATCCGCTGTAGCAAACCCTAATAAATAAGGGACTTAGCAAAAGGAAAATGAATGAATGAATGAACGAATGTGTGATTGTTTTGGATGACAAAAACAGGAGTTCACAGATCCATCCTTGTCTTTGTAGTTTAGATTGGCGGTGGTGAAATGATTGGTGTATACTTTCTTCCAAGTGTATATTATTATACTATATACTAGTGTATATTTTACTTATTTTGGTTTATTATTTATTAAGTCTGCTAGTTAGCTAGGAAAGTAATATCCCACAGGCGGGTCTGCGCTTGTGCCCTCAGTATACCATCCATCAGTCAATGACTGACACACTCAGGTCTACATCAGCAAGCACTCATCTTATTCCCATTTGCAAAGCCATTCAGCAAACCAGCATTGATTTTACATACTTGCTGCCTGTTGATGTGCCCTGCCCTTTATATCTGACCAATTACTGGCTGACAGAGCTCTCTCAGCATTGCTACATAAACTAAAGACAGATTTGTGTCATGTCATGTGATGAAACCTAAGGAAAATATGCGCATGCATTAACAATCTCAAACAAGCAGCTGTTCGGTAAAAAATGAAATCAGCTTTTGCCATCAAAGAGACATTTCCGGTGACCTCAAGTGATGAAAAATGTGTTAAAGTGTATTAGATTCAGTGGTTGTTCTCTGGAAATAACATACTTTGAAATGTCATGATTGACCAATCAGAATCAAGTATTCCAGAGAGCCGTGAACTAATTCTAATTATTCAACAGTTCTGTGAGGATCTTGAATTTGATTGGCTGATAGCCATGATATGTTTAGGTAATATCAGCATCCATACAGCCTCTTTGTGCATTACTCTGCCCAAATACAGCCAGCAACAAGCAGACACTACAGTTTGACAAATATTACTGCTGTTAGACAACCAAATGTACTTTTGAGGCTTTTTTTAGTGGATAATGTAGTTGTTTAGATTGCAACTATGCAGTTTGTTTGTAAGGATAGTGCCTATTTTAAAATATTTACAATTTCCAAAAGCTCGTCGGCTGCAGTTGACGTTGTCTATCCACAAGATGGCGCCAGATGGCATAATAAGCCCTTGCTCTGTGTGTTCTCTTGAGCGTGAATTAAAAAGCTGAAAAACAGAAGCCTCTTGGTTTTTAAGGTGGACCGGATAGAGTCAATAAGAAGCTGCGAATAAGAAGCTGGATTCAGCCTCGTCCCTCCTTATCGCAAACACAACAGCAGTCTGGTGAGAAATCTCTGTAGACGGATGGCATTTCATGTCACGTTCAGCCTTATAGTCTTAAAATTCAAGCAAAATTTGCTGTCATAACCTTAAGGGGGTCACACACCAGAAGCGCCGCTTCACATTACGCTATAGAGAATCATTCAAACACTAGCTCTAAAGTGACGTTGGTGAATTAGTAACGGCTTCTGCTGTTCTGACGTCAGCTGCAGATGTGTATGAATGGCGGAAGAAAGTAGTTCCTAATGCAAAAGGGTTTTTAGACTCTCTGTGTTTGATTTTCTTTTTTATGTACAAGATTGTGCTGTTGAACTGTTGTATAAACGCAATATCACACTCGTAGCAGTGTGCTATGGCAGTATATCAGCACTGGTGGGGCGCTAAGGCACTCGGCCTGTGGCCTTGTGCCAACGCACACCTCCCACCAGTGCTGATATACAGCCATAGCACACTGCTACTCGTGTGATATTGCTCATATAACATGCAAGTGTCAGAAAATATTACATTCACTTAACCCACAACTCCATTATTTCTGTAGTAAGAACTCTTCTGATGCTAAAATGCACATCTTTTTTCGTTGGGATCTACTTAATATTCATGAAGGCCAGCAGACATCCGGGCCGCTGAAGTGAAAGTGCTCAATGCAGGAGACTGGTATCTCTTCATAAGCATCATGCTGTACTGTGATCTTAAAGCACAGTCTGAGAAATGGCCATCTGTCAGAGATGAGACTGAACGCATGTGGACACAAATAGAGCACAGCCCGGGGCTCTATAAGCAACACAACACGATGCAGATGTTCTCGTATCATTACTTAACGTTTCAGGAGACCTGCATGAGTCATCTGAACATGCTAAATCAAACGTCATACTGAAATACGCTGCATTTGGATGGGAACTATCTCAGAACAAGAGCATTTCTGATCCTTGAGGTACACCAACAGTACATATTTCAATTGGACTCATATCTGACCCATTAGTTTCAGGTTTTAGAGTCTCTTCTAATGTTTCGATGAGTTCATAGAGGTGTGTTTAATAACGAATCTCAGATGCAGAAAAGCTACTTCATGCTTTTATGACTTCTATGCTGGATTACTGTAATGATTTGTTCGCTGCTACCCAGCATCCTCTATTAACAAACTTCAGCTAGTACAAAATGCAGCTGCCAGAGTTCTTTCCAGGTCTAGAAAAAATCACTTCAATTTTATCTGGCTGCTATTTACGTTTCGTATAGATTTTAAAATATTGCTTCTTACCTATAAATCGTTTAATTAGAGGTGTGAACCTATACTGGTCTCACGGCTCGGTTATGATTATCATGCCATAGATTCAGTTCACTTTAATATCTCGGTGTATCACAGTGCATTGACGATGCTTTCCATACACAGTCAGTGTTATATTTTGGGTGGAGGCTATAACATGTTGTATAAACACACA